TAGATCTCTAGATTTTAATAGATCATCAAGGATCTAAGGAGATTATAATAGATCTCAATAAATCTATTTTATGAGATTATAAATAGATCGTGAAAGATCTCAACACAGATGTTAAATAGATCAAAATAGATGTTAAATAGATCATAATACTTCGATCTGTTTAGATCTTTGGTGATCAGAATAGATCTTCAAAGATTAAAATAATCCATTCAAGATCTAGACAAATTAATTTTAATAGATCATCAAGGATCTAAGGAGATCATAATAGATCTTGATAAATATATTTTTTGAGATTATAAATAGATCGTCAACAATCTCAAAATAGATGTTAAATAGATCAAAATAGATCACCAAAGATCTAAACAGATCAAAATATATCTTCGAAGATTAAAATAATCCATTAAAGATCTAGACAGATTAATTTTAATAGATCATCAAGGATCTAAAGAAATTATAATAGATCTCTAGATTTTAATAGATCATCAAGGATCTAAGGAGATTATAATAGATCTCAATAAATCTATTTTATGAGATTATAAATAGATCGTGAAAGATCTCAACACAGATGTTAAATAGATCAAAATAGATGTTAAATAGATCATAATACTTCGATCTGTTTAGATCTTTGGTGATCAGAATAGATCTTCAAAGATTAAAATAATCCATTCAAGATCTAGACAAATTAATTTTAATAGATCATCAAGGATCTAAGGAGATCATAATAGATCTTGATAAATATATTTTTTGAGATTATAAATAGATCGTCAACAATCTCAAAATAGATGTTAAATAGATCAAAATAGATCACCAAAGATCTAAACAGATCAAAATATATCTTCGAAGATTAAAATAATCCATTAAAGATCTAGACAGATTAATTTTAATAGATCATCAAGGATCTAAAGAAATTATAATAGATCTCTAGATTTTAATAGATCATCAAGGATCTAAGGAGAACATAATAGATCTTGATAAATCTGTTTTTTGAGTTTATAAATAGATCGTCAAAGATCTCAACGCAGATGTTAAGTAGATCAAAATAGATCTTCAAAGATTAAAATAATCCAATAAAGATCTAGACAGATTAAATTAAATTAAATTAAATATTATAAACAGAACAAAATAGATCATAGAGTATCTAAGAATGTTAAGATCTCGCAAGATCTATATAGATCTCCGTGATAAAAAAAAAATGACTTACATTTTTGGGTGAAAATTTAGGGTTTTCCACAAATTCCATCACCTCCTCCCACGTCCATAAAATATCCTAACGATTAAAAACGATTTTACACGAAACGAGAAAAAACCTATATTTACTCATCCACCATCGACTCTGCGACTAAAACTAAAACTAAAAACGGGATGAAAATATTCCTAAAAAAATAACACGTTATCAAATATAGCTGCAGCATTATTTCTTTTCATTTCTGTATTATATATTATATTTAATATATATTTATAGTAATTATCTAAATACATAAAAATCAATCATCAATAGTAAACGATACACCAGCTACTCGTCTAATAAAAACTTACTATATATATATTATAATTTTATATATCGATATAAAAAAATCAAGCGTGCCTTAATAGAGAAACAAATTTTCAGTTTTTTTAAAATAGAAAAAATAGTTTTAAATAAAACAATTGGAGGGCATCAAGATTCTCATCACTAAAATTTTCATCGCTCGAGAAAACACTAAAAGCGCTACTGGATTAAATCAAATTTGTCCAGGGGCGGCGGGGAATCGATTCACACGATAAATAGAATAATAAAAGACATAACACACGAGCATATAAACACAGAAAAATCGATAACTCCTAAACCGTTGGATGAATTTAAATGGTGTTTTTGGCAAAAATGTTTAGAATTAAATACTGTACAAATTTTTCTAACAACTTGAGGCCCTAGAGCAACGCCGTGTACTCTAAAATGACGCTTAAGATGACTCAATACCTGTTTCCGCGATTTGTACAGCCATGGATATAAATGATTTGATTTGCGCTCTAATTTTAAGGTATACCGAGTTGTTATAGGGTGTTTTGATGTTAGACAATATTGTAGATAATTTAATTTTGAACAAATTTCCTGAAGACATCGTTTAAATTAATCGAATGGTTTAAAAGTTACGACAGTTGTACTGCATGAGAAAAAAATGTCTTGAATTAACTTGAATTATTAATTATCTTTGATTCTCACGATTTATAGAATATATATGAACACAAAAAAATCGATAACTCTTGAACCGTTTGATAAATTTAAATGGTGTTTTTGGCAAAAGTGTTTAGAATTAAATACTGTACAAATTTTTCTAACAACTTGAGACTCTTGAGCAACTCGGTGTGCTCTAAAATGACGCTCAAGATGACTCAATACATGTTTCCGCGATGGATATAAATAATTTGATTTGCACTCTAATTTTAAAGTATACCGAGTTGTTATAGGGTATTATGATGTTAGACAATGTTGTAGATATTTTAATTTTGAACAAATTATTCATACGCACCATCAATATTGATCGAATGGTTTAAAAGTTATGACAAATACTAGATAAATGCATGAGCAAAAAATGTCTTGAATTAACTTGAATTAATAATTATCCTTGATTTTCACGATTTATATAATACATATATAAACACAAAAAAATCGATAACTCCTAAACCGTTTGATGAATTTAAATTGTGGATTCGGCAAAAATGTTTAGAATTAAATACTGAACAAATTTTTCTAACAACTTGAGTACCTAGAGCAACTCGGTGTATTCTAAAATGACGCTCAAGATGACTCAATACATGTTTATAAATGATAATACGATATAAATGATTTGATGACATAAAAATGATTTAATTTGCACTCTAATTTTTAAGTATACCGAATTGTTATAGAGTGTTATGGTGTTAGACAATGTTGTAGATATTTTAATTTTGAGCAAATTATTCATACACACCATCAATATTAATCGAATGGTTTGAAAGTTATGGCAAATAATAGGTTGTCAAATATCTCCCTTCCGCCTTTTTGTATTATAAACCAAGAGCAAAAAAGCGGAAGGGAGATATTTGACAACCTAATATACTAAACCAATGCACTTTGATGCGATCTTGAATTAGTTAATTATGGATCTTCAATCGTGATTTTAAAGTATACCGAGTTGTTATAGGGCATTATAATATTAGAAAAAATTATGAACAATTTAATTTTGTACGAATTTGCCGAATATATCATTTATATTAATCAAATGGTTTAAAAGTTACTAGATAAATGCATGAGCAAAAAATGTCCTGAATTAACTTGAATTAATAATTATTTATTTTTAATCCTGATTTTAAAGTATACCGAGTTGTTGTAGGGACTTATGTTGTTAGACAATATTATAGATTATTTAATTTTGTATAAATTTGCCAAATACATGATTTATATTAATCAAATCGTTTAAAAGTTACTAGATAAATGCATGAGCAAAAAAATGTCTTGAATTAACTTGAATTAATAATTATCGATTTTTAATTCTGATTTTAAAGTAAACCGAGTTGCTATAGGGCATTATAATATTAGACAAAATTATGAAAAATTTAATTTCGTACGAATTTGCCGAATATATCATTTATATTGAACGAATTGTTTAAAGGTTACATAATATTTAGTAAAAAAAATGGACAAATATTTCAACAATTTAGAAAAATTTAATATTTTTCCATTACCATCGTGTGCATCAAACCCCTTCCAGCTCCCTCATTATAAAAATCACCACAAACTTACGTTCCACAAGCAATTTTTTTAAAATATTTATTCGTTTTTAAATTAAAACAAAAAACAATAATGTTTTCGTAGTAGCACTTTTTGTTTTGAGTAATTTCGCTCTAAAATGTGTCTTTGTGAATAAAATCTACAAAAATCGTGTCAATCATTCACTTTCTTTTTTTTTTAAGTATCTATACCACCATTTATTAACACAGATTTGCTGTAATTGTCGAAAATAATAATATAGGGTATGCCATCTAACATTTTTCATTTTTTTTCAACGGTCAGCCGAGGCTTTTTTTCTTCATTTTTGAATTAAATTATTAACTGAATTAATTTCATTATTAACTGAAAGGATTGTACTTTCAAATAGAAAAAGAAATTTTAGAAAATATTCAGTAATTTGTAAAAAAAAAAATAAAGTTATTTGGCGGACCCAATAATAGTAATAGTAACAGAAATCGCTTTGCGTTTTCAAAGAAAATTGAAAATCGAGTATAATATTAGGTTGTCAAATATCTCCCTTCCGCCTTTTTGTATTATAAACCAAGAGCAAAAAAGCGGAAGGGAGATATTTGACAACCTAAATTGTACCTCAGATTTCTAGTTTCAGATGCGATTTTAAAATATACCGAGTTGACGTAGGGCTTTATGATGTTAGACAATATTATAAACAATTTAATTTTGAACAAATTTGCCAAATATTTCAATTGTATCAAGCAAATACTTCAAAAGTTACAAATGATAAACAAATGCACAAACAACGTCAAAGTTTCTAGTTTTGAAAGCTATTTTAAAATATACCGAGTCGTCGTAGGGTGTTATGATGTTAGACAATATTATAAACAATTAAATTTTGTATAAATTTGTCATATATTGCATTTAAATCGCATGTACGGTTTAAAAGTTATGATCAATGCAATAAATAAATACACCAAACACCGTACTACGTAAGATTAGTGTGAGGGCTAGTATGGCAAAACGCAACAACAAAATTTTTAATAAAAAAAAGGTATCAAATTTTGTTGTAAACAAATTTATCGGCTTTGTTAAATTTATATGAGGTTTGTGTAATTTATAAGGTTGTCAAATATCTCCCTTCCGCCTTTTTGTATTATAAACCAATAGCAAAAAAGCGGAAGGGAGATATTTGACAACCTAATATTTGAGCATTACTTCAAGAAGAATAAAATAAATTACACAATTAATTTATGAAAAACAAAGGTAAAAATACTACTTTCTGAATAAATCAGGGTGGTTGTTGTCTTTAAGATACAAGTGTATTATTATATTTGTTCCGCCTATTTCAACAATTACAGCATCCCGTGTCTTTTCTATACCAGGAGCAAAATCCATAAAAACGTCTTTCCAATACTAAAATCACATTCAATCTATAAAAAAGCATATAACTCCTCCACATAATTTTCCACCTGGCATCATGCGACATCTCTATCAATTTTACCCCCGGCTTATCACAAATAATCCCACACTAGTAATTATTTAATAATCAAGATGTCAATTAGAAAGTGTGCGACTATCATCTCTCTTGGAATTTAAATGTTAAATTAAAATTGAGAATTTAGAAATAGATTTAAATAAAAGATTACTCTTTCACTTCGAAATACTTATACGTTGGATTTTCATATCCGTTCACTTGCATGTTGGCAACATGTCTTTCTTCCGGTGTCACCGGAACAGGAACTGTTCCGCACCCCTGATCAACCTAAAAAAAAATAGATACATTAGACCATTACTAATTTGGTGCAAGTAAAATCTAACTAGTTGGTTTGGTATTTAGCCTTGAGGCAAGTTACATGAACTTCCCGATATGTGTAAATAATCGACCTAATCAATAAAAAAATGAGTAAATAATATACTTCATCAATCCTACTTTTAAAAAAACGATAATAATTTTAGCAAAGTTTGACGAATTTTTAAAATTAAACTACTTGACGTAAGGCCGTAATATTACAGTAAGTTCTATAAGACCATGATGTATATCGCCAAAAAAAGTTCCATGAAAATCGGCTTAAATTTTTTTTTCAACATTTAATTACAAGAAAACGGCTCGGTAAATTTTCACCTAAAATTAATCAGTACCATTCCCAACTGATATCTTTCGAACAGTTTTTGATTTTTTTAAATCGGTTCGATAGGATGGGCTTAAATGTGGACGAAAAGTTTAACACTTTTTTTTCGAATTACAAAGAAACGGCTTGTCAGATCGTTGCACAAAACTGACAAACGATAGTCCTCACCGAAATACATCAAATGGCTTTTAAATTTCTAAAATCGGTTCAGGCGTTTTTGAGAAAACGTCGATCAAAAGTCTAATTTTGACAAATGCCAAAAAGACCATACTGATTTTTGCAAACTTTGACGAAGTTTTGAAGCTGAACCAGTTGTCGTAGGGCCGTAATATTTTAGTATGATCTAGAAGACTATGGTATCTATCGTCAAAAAAATAATCATAAAAATCGTCGAAATTTTTTTTTTTTAAACTTTATTACAAGAAAACGGCCCGGCCGATCTCTACCAAAAACTAATCAGCACGATTCCCAACCAATATCTTTCGAACGGTTTTTGAATTTTCAAAATCGATTCAGAATTGCGGGCTAAAACGTAGACAAAATTTTTTTCACTTCTCTGCCATTTATAAAGAAACGGCTTAGCCGATCGTCGCACAAAACTGACAAACAATAGTTCTCGTCGAGATACATCGAATGGCATTTAAATTTTTGAAATCGGCCCAGCCGTTTTCGAGAAAACGTCGATTTACGGCAAAAAATCTGTTCACATACACATACACACAAACACGCGCGCGCACACACACACACACATACTTTTTCCTTAAATTTGGTCTCATTCGATTCAGAATGGCTTGAAACGTCGAGAAAACATAGAATTAGCGAATCGGATTTTTTGATGAAAACATAAACTTCTCCTTCGGGAAGTTAAAAAGATTTTACTCCTTTCCTTCGTCACCTCAACAAATCCTTGCGCTCCTGGCGACCTTGCAGCTCTCCTTTTGGCGACTGCAACTCCGACGACGACTGCTGCAGCAAGGGCTACTCCTGCAAATGCCAGTGTAAAGTACACACTGCGCCCTTCACCTAAACGCCCTGAAGGGGTAAATAAGTCGTGGGTGCGCAGAGAGTAACCCTGGAGGAAAAACAGAAGGTCATCGAGGTTTCTGGTGAAATTTTAGGTAAGGCACCAAAATTATGTTACCGGTTCTCCATGTCCCAAATCGTGCGTCATTGCATGCGAAGCCCTTGCTTCTGTTTGCCTTTGTAAGGCAACTTGCTCGACAGCCCTTTGTACTGCTGCGTCGTCGACGACGCCACTGTTGTGCTGGGCTGCTACCAACGGCCTAAGAAAACAATACATTGGTTTTAGCTTACCAATCCAAATCCAACATCCAAAGACAACCCAAATGTGTCTTTTATCCTTACCTTTGTGTTGAGCTAGAAACAACTTTGACTTCGCTCTCGTCAGAATCCCGTTGATCCTCCTCTTCCTCGAGGTCCTTAGGCTCCATTTCCTCTTTGTCGGGGGTCTGCTCTTCCGTGACTGCTACTTTGGCAGTCAATTCGTGTCTGGCTGCTTCAGATCGCATTTTTTCCTGGCGTAATTCCGCCCTGGCACGAGATCTCTGCTCCTTGCGCTGCTTTTCGAAGAGGCGTTGTCGCTCTTTTTCTGCCAACTTGCGCTCCACCTGGGTAAAAGACCGAGGGTAAGTTGAGATTTTTTATGCTGATGTGTGTTTTAATTTACCTCTGTCCTGTATTTGTCCAAAATAGCGATTTCTGCGTCTTCCGTCATGGCCAACATTGAACCTGGAGTCTCGTCTTTGGAACGAAGCGCCTGCAAATACAAATCAAAGTTGTAAAATACCAGTTAAAGGATATGAGTTTTCTATCCATTACCTGTATGTAGTCGTCCATAAGTTGTCCAATTTTATCAGCCAATTCGGGGTATCTCCTCAACATCTGCATAGACTGGTTGACAGCCCTGTCGATGTCGACTAAACGTTCAAGAGTTCGTGGTCTTTCATTGGCAGCGGCTTCCAAACCGCCACCGGCGGCTGAACCTCCATTTCGACCTCCGTTGCCGGTGGTTGCTGACGCCAATAAGTGGCGGTAATGAGCCAAGGCGTGGGCGCGATCTTTGTGAAGGGCTCGGAGGAGTTTTTGGAGACATTTCTGCACTCTGTGAGTCTATAATAGATACAAAAATCAGAATTTGTTGATGCATATCGATGGTTTTCTGACGCAACCTCGTATCTCAGAAACTACTACTTTTCAGGAGAGATAAAATACGTTTTATAACGAATTTTTGAACTGCTGTTAACAATTTTTTTTATAAATTTTAAAAATATTCAATTTTGTGACAATTATTTGAGACTAGTATGATATTACAAACAATTAATCATTATTTTTTCTTCAATTCTTTGAGATACGTGTTTGTCGCATGGAAAAAAATGTAACATACGTGGTTGCGTCAAGTTGTTTTCAAATAAGAGTACATGAATAACTTTTTTCAATTGTTTTATTTTGAGAATCGATCAACTTTTTAAATAATTCCTAATAAAAAAACAAACCTTATTAAACTTGTGGTATATTTTAGTTTATAATTACGACAATATAGTATCTGGCCATAGTTTAGGTATTTCAATATCTAGGATATTGAGCTCTTTTATGGATTTATAATTTACTACTTTGTGATTATCATTTTTAATGTTACTTTTAATCTTTTTTGTTATTATTTCTTTATTCGATGTTTTTTTATCTGCGGATGGCACATTATCTAACACTAAAAAATACAAAATTTAATTTCATGTGAGAACTTATTGTCAGTAAGAATTGATAACTGTTTAATTTTTGTTGTTACTGTGATATTTGTTCTCAAAATAATAAAAATATAACTAGTGGTGCATGGCATCGTGCCTATAAGCAAATTGGTGGAACTTCCCGTTCCGTAATTAAATAGAATCGAGGAATAATACATGATTTCAAATAGATTATTATAAATACTGTAACTTTCGTTATTCGTATGACAAAATATAAGAATAAATTGGACAACGACGTTTATATATGTTTACATAAAAAGTAAATAAAAGTAAAAAAAGAACATATCTCATATTTCTAATTTGCAAATTTAAATTTATTTATTTAAAGTATATAAGAGAGTTTTAGAATTTTAGCTAGCATTAAAATTAAAATCCGAATCAATTTTCATATTTAAACAAAGAAATAATTGCAAATTAAAAAAAAATGGACAAATTCTGCTTTCATAAACTAATCGAATCTTCATACTGCAAATTTTTTTTGAATCATTCGAATCAGAAGCTTTGAAACGACTGGGCCTGTCTTTTCCAGAAACTAATCACCACGTCATCAATACAAATTGAATGTTTTTAAATAATTCTCTGTTTTGTCAATAGGAAACGATTGCTTTTTGAATGTTTCAAATCGGTTGATCCGTGCTCCCGAAAACGTGGACAGAAAATTGTATCCACACACACACACGCACACAAACACATACATCCATTTTTTTTTAAGGTACGTCAAAATATTCAGAAACCAGAAACGTTAAATATGCAAAAAAATTCATTTTCAATTTTAGGAAAAATACTCTCGTTCATTGAGTTTTAATAACAATTAACTTAATTGAATAATAATTTTTATTAGAAAGGTTGAACTAAACAGCATTGCTGACAGCGAAACTTGTTCATATACGCCACCGTGTATTCTGAGATACGAGGTTGCGTATGGCACATTTTTCTGAATTGAGATACGTGATTGTATTTTTCTCAATAAAAAACGTTCGGTTGATTTTTTTTACAAAACTTCACAGATCAATGCGTCTATACTTAGTGATTGATTTTCCGATTAAAACTCAAAATCGTCAAAAATCGAGTTACGAGGTTGCGTCAGAAAACCATCGATATGAGTTATTGTATACTTACATTTGGTGGTTGGTCAGTCAATGCTTGGGTGTAGCATGCCATAGCCTCCTTCCTGCGCTGATTGATGTGTGCCAAAACCCTTTGCTGGTGCATAGCAGCCAACTGGCGCTTCTCAGCCTCTCCTTGTTCCTCCAAAGCCTGCACGCTGGCTTGGAATCGAGCAGTCATACGTCTTTTGAAGCCTTGGGCGGCACGCGGATCGGCCAAACGCATGTCTTGATAACGTTCTTCCAAATCTGACCAATCCTTCATCACTTTAGTAACCTAAATAACCATATATATATATACTAGCTGACCCGGCAAACGTTTTGCCAAAATACTCATAGAATAATATTTTTAGAAAATCATTAGTATAAATAATGGCTTACTCATGATGAAAGGGGCAGCTAACACAAATTACATTGATAATTTAACCAATGCAACGCTAAAATACTAACATCCATATTAGAATTATGTTATGCTATGCTTAGCAAAACGAGAGAGATTTCAATAACTCTGAAAAAAATCCCATTTTCTTTTAATAACAGTTTTTTCTTCAGATTTTAATATTATATTTCTATTTTTTTTGCTAAAATTGCTTTCTGCCATATATTCAAAAACTATGCACTTCTTATGCACATCGAGAAATATTTTTACAATAGGATAAGCCTGCAAATCAGTTAGTTTTATCGGAGGAAACCATTTCGTTGCCAATATATAAGAATAGTTTTTAAAATGTTGCAGCGGATAGAGCGGATGAATTTAAACTTTTCTATAAGTTCAGAAAAATCTTGATCGATCACAAAAAGACGATAATTGTTAATTGATCATTAAAAAATGAATGGTCTTCTAAAATGACTATTATGAAATAAGAGAGTGAAATTTGGAGTTTTATGTAGTTTTTCATTCCACATTAAAAAAAATAAAGAACAAAATTAAAAAAAAAAAAACAGAAAAACTATTTTACTTTTTTTTAAGTTTGTTCTTCATTTTAATTTTTTGAATACGGAAGTAATACGAATGCAGCTTTGATATGTTTCACTCAATTTTGATCGGTGGAATTTTTTTATGAATTTCGTGGTTGAAATTAACACAGATCCACAAAAAAAAAGTTTGATTGGGTGTGTGACATATGTTTTCCAATGTACCTTTTACCGCTGAAGATGAATCTATAGTCAAAAATGGAACGCAAAATATTTGAAAACTGGCACAATCTTCAATGTATAAATTTTTCTGAATAAATTAATTATTTTCCAGCGAAACGGTTTTGTGAGAAATTTTGAAATACTATCTAAATAAAAGAGATTTGTGTCGCACAGCGTGTTGAGTTCATTCCGTTTATTTATTGTTTTATTGCTATAAATAGTTAAAAAAGATCCTTCTATAATTCTTCGTTTGAATAAATTTTGTTCGAATTCTAGTACAGTCGGATTAGAAAAGTCCATGTTGTGTTTTAAAGTATAAATATGCTCTGCTATCATAGTTTTAAATTGCCATGGATTTTTTGAATTGTTTTTATGCTGTTGTAAACGTTTCATTAAGTTCTGGTTTGTTTTTCCTATGTAAATTAAATTACAATCTAGACAATTAATTTGATAAACGAGATTTCTAAGTCGTTCGATATTGAAAGGGGTTTTTGTTTTGGTAAAAATAGTGCTAGTCGTTGTACTAAAATTGTTTACAAGCCGGAGTCCAGATTTAGAAAAATTATTTTTCCAAGGAACATACAATTCTTTAATGTATGGCAAACATATTACACCAGAATGTGTTTCTGAGTCAGGTAAATCGTTTTGTACTGTGGAATTGTCCATTTTATTCAAAAGGTATGTTTGTCTGTTACTGGTTACGGAGTTTATAAGTTTTAAGGGATAGGAGTTATCTGTTAGAATTTTCGTAATTAAATTGATGTTGTTGTCCCAAAATGTTTCGTCCGATAGAAGTATTGCGTGGTCAGTTAGATTTATTATAGTACCTATTTTCATTTCGAGTGGATTTCGAGTGGAGCTAGTTGATTTTTGGTACCAATTTGTTATTAGTTTGTTATCTGTAGTACGTATAAGTTTTATGTCTAAGGAACTTATCGAGTTCATTGTTTCTAATTCTACTGTAAATTTTCTTTGTGCACCTCTGTAATTATTCGCGCAAATACGTACTTCCAAAAAAAAAATATCATAATTTTCTTTGCGACATGAGATTTATAAAAAATTTCGATGTTTTCATAAAGTGTACCTACATCGATGTTAAATAGCAAAGAAAACAGTTGTCTTGCTAGCTTTGAACATTTGGAATCACAATTAAAATTTGTTCACATTTTCTTCTTCTAAATAAGGAAAATGAAACACAAGATTCTGCAGAAGATATTATTCGTCATTACCAAATGACGAAAGTACTACAATTTTTCTTTCATATCCAAAACAATTGTAGTTCGCCATTTGGGTCGTATACTGCTTCAAGCATTGCATCACTATTAAGGGGGGCGATACATGTAATCGCCTTAATTTTTACCATTTTTTGAGGACTTTTTAAACTGGGAAGGAATAACTGAATCTTTTTGAATTTTTTTATGGTTATTTATTATATATTAAAATACACAAAAACATTTTTTTTTTATTTTTTTTTTTTTAAATGGCTGCCGTAAAAATAGATCTGCCAAGACCCTCTCGGAAAACGCCATCAATCTGCGGGCGTTCTCACTTTTCGTACGGTGATCTGAATTCAAAAAAATTAGTTTGTACGTATTCATAAAACATATATCTTCTAGTTAAACCAAAAAAAAATTAAAAAAGTCACAAAATCGTAAATTGGCAGACCTCAGAAAAAAAAAGTTCGATTTTTCACCATTTTTTCACTGTTTTTTTTGGTAAAAAGGTTAATTTTTGAAATTTTTTTTGGAATGTTTGAGGTTTAACTAGAAGCTATTACTGTAAAGTAGATGTGTGCAAAATTTCATTGGAATCGGTTGAGAACTTTTTGAGTTATCACGCCCGCAGTATTCAAAAATGTCGTTTTGAGAAAAACGCGTTTAAAGTTTTGACACAGAAACAGATAAGAGTACAATTGCACTCGAGCGTCGAGTTGAGGCGTGGCACTTAAATGAGTTTTTAAGGTATAAATAATGATAATTTTGTTTTGAATTTTTGCAGGCATATTTTTGAGATGTTATTGTAACGATTTATGAAAAAAAAAAAAATCGTTTTTTTTTTTCTTGTTACATGTATCGCCCCCCTTAAGCTAACGTTCTTTAGTATTAAAAATCGCCATATTGACGCTCTAAATTGTTCTAGAATTTAAAACGGTGATTTAATCCTTGCAATTTTATCAGATTTACTTATTTTTAACTTCCCGTAGGGTAAGTTATTGTAATGGGCCGAAAATCGGAATTGAAATTTTTTACATTTCTCGACGTTTTGAAGGTTTCTGAACGTTTTGGCATACCTCAGAAATAATGGATGTGTGTGTGTGTGTATGTATGTATGGATACAAATTTTCGTCCACGTTTTCGGGCGTACGGATCAACCGATTTGAATGGTTTAAAAAACATTCGATTCCTATTAATAAGGAGAAGAGCTGATTAGTTTTTGGCAAAGACAGGTCCAGCAGTTACGGAGATAAGGAGCAAAGAGTGCAGAAAATAGAAATCGAGTTTTGAGAGAACGGAGCATCCGATTTGAATGATCTAAAAAACATTCCATTAGTAATGATTGGGAGAAAGGGTTATTAGTTTTGCGCAAAGGCAGGCCCAGCCATTTCGGAGATACAGAGCTAAATGTACAAAAAATGGCAGTTTTTGAGAGAACTAAGCGTCCGATTCAATTGATTCAAAGAACTTTCTGCTTGTCTTAACAAAATAATTGATTTTGGAAAAAAAAATTTGTACCATTTTTTTTTTTTTTTTTTTTTTTTTTTAAATTTTTTGTATATCGAAAATAATTCAGATTTTATTTTTAATTCTGACTATAGTTCTAATATACTTTAAACAAATAATTTCAACTCTGCAATTCAGTTTATATAATTATTATAAATATTAGACAATAATACAATATTTATAATAATCTATTTGAAATCATTCAATATTCCTCGAACGTTTCGTTACGGTACGGGAAGTTCCAGCAATTTGCCTTAAGGCACGATGCCACCCACCCCACTAGTTATATTTTAAAATTGTAAATGCGTTATTGCTATGTTCTCGGACAAGTTCTCAATTTTTCTTGCAATATTGATAAATTAATATTTAATTTATCAGGAAATGCTATTTCTGTGAACAACAGTCCTTACCAGTATTTGACTGACAACAAAATTAGCCTTTACGACCGTATTTGATAAAATATCTAGAAAAATAATCTGTTGTTGAGAAACGCTTGGCTGGCCGCGGGTTGCTTATCCTTGCATTAGTTCCAAAACTTACCAATAACTACTGAGTCTACCTATCTCCTTACCTTTTCCCTGTGGGTTTCCTCCAACCTCTGCTGGGCCTCCTTGTAGTTCTGGTGTTCGACTCGAGGATCGAAATGGGTAAAGTAAGGATCCGGGGTTTGGGCACTTGGTGGTGCCTGTGTCGAGGTCACCAGCTGTGGAGGCTGTGTCACCGATTGCTGTTGCTGAGTGACGGCCTGCTGTGCGGTTGTAGGAGCAGGCGAAGGCGTCACCGCCGCCTGAGTTGAGGTAAACGAGTTGGATAATGATGGTGTTTGCTGGGAAGGAGAATCTGGCCAATCTGCGGATAGTGGTGGGTTCTGGTTGGAATCAGAGGAGTCTGTTTGATCTGATGGGTCTGATTCGGAGTCTTCCTCGGAGTCGTAGTCGTCTTCTGCGTCGCCTTCTTCATCTAAGGTAAATAGAAGGATATAAAAGTAGAAGAAAAAAGTCGAAAGTAGATATAGCATCTATGCAAATAGACATAACTGGGATTAATCGAATAAAAAGTGAAAGCCATGGATCCAAGCAAGTAGCACCTACAAATGAAATGGCTGCTGTAGCAATTATGCAAGGCAAAGGCTCCTCTAGTTTACAATCTTTTGGTGATGATCGGCCAAGGAAAAAAAATAAGAAGCTTATTCGAACAGCAGGAGGTCAAACATGGGAAGATCCATCTCTTCAAGATTGGGAAGATGATGATTTTAGAATTTTTTGTGGTGATTTAGGTAATGATGTGACTGATGAACTTTTAATACGAACATTCAACAAATATCCATCCTTTCTTAAGGCGATGGTGATACGTGACAAAACAACCAATAAAAGCAAAGGTTTTGGTTTTATTAGTTTCAAGAATTCTGCTGATTTCATAAAGGCAATGAAAAAAATGGATGGCCGTTATGTGGAAGAGAAGAGAAAAAGTTGCTGGAAAAACAGATCCCTCGATGTGGTTCGCAAAAAAGAAAAGGAAAAGCAAACTTTGCTGAACATGCTTACCAGCAACACACGACAATTTTGAAAAAAATCAATAGATTTTTATGAATTCAGGATTTAAATAGTTTTGTCTATTCATGTGGATAAATTATTGTGTGTTCCTAATAATAATAAATAAGAATTAACATCCCGTGGGGTAGTTAAAATAATAGGAAGATGTGCTGATTAGTTTTTGGCAAAGGCAGGTCCAGTCGTTACGGAGATACGGAGGAAAGAGTGCAGAAAATAGAAATCGAGTTTTTGAGAGAACGGAGTATCGGATTTGAATAATCTAAAAAACATTCAATTTGTAATGATTGGAAAAAGAACTCTAGTGACGAGCAAATCAAAATACAAAGAGAAAAAATGGACTCTATAGACGAGCAAATGAAAATTTGTAAGAAAAAGCGATTCTACTGACGAGCAAATAAAAATATTAGAACCAAATGGACGCTACTGACGAGCAAATGAAAATATTAGAACAAAAGGGACTCTACTGACGAGCAAATGAAAATATTAGAAAAAGGGGATTTTACTGACGACCAAATAAAAATGTTAGAACAAAAGGGATTCTACTGACGACCAAATAAAAATATTAGAACAAAAGGGATTCTACTGACGACCAAATAAAAATATTAGAACAAAAGGGATTCTACTGACGACCAAATAAAAATATTAGAACAAAATGGACTCTACTGACGAGCAGATTAAAATATTAGGCAAAAGGAGACTCTACTGACGAGCAAACAAAAATATTAGGAAAAAGGGACTCTACTGACGAGCAAACAAAAATATTAGGAAAAAGGGACTCTACTGACAAGCAAATAAAAATATTAGGCAAAATGGACTCTACTGACGAGCAACCTGAAGATTTGTAAAATGACAAAGAAGTTTTAAGAAACTTTAAGAGAAAAGAAACTCTACTAACAAATGAAATTTGAACCCGGAAAAATTTGGCAAAGACAGGTCCCGCCATTTCGAAGATACAGAGCTAAATATGCCAAAAATGGCAGTTGATCTAAAAAACTTTCTGCTTGTATTGACAAAACAATTGCTTTTGAGGATAAAAAATTATTACACCTTTTTTTATTTTCCATGAAATATTTTTGTAATTTTGGATTAAAAATTCAAAAAAAATTACCCAGGCGAAGCAAAGTCTAAGCGCCACTCTGGTACAAATGTTTACCCAGGTGCGTTTAGACTGTTTATGTATGGAGCACTGTTCCAATTTTGTGAGAAAACTAATGAAAAATGTGAAAATGCCTCCAAACTGAGCACAGTATAAGTGAAAATGACGCACAGAATTATTTGTAAATGCGTTTAGACTGCGACTATACGGGAGCACTTTTTCAATTTTGTGTAACTATTTTTTTTTTTTTGAAATTGAATTCGAAATGAAATGACGATTGTTAATGTTCTCGAGATAAATTGATTTATTTTAATTTACATTTGATTTGCTCAGATATAACAATATAGCAAAAATAATGAAAGTTACTGAATTTGTAATAATATATTTGAAAACGTTTAAAATTTCTCGAATATTTCATTACGGTACGGGAAGTTTCAGCAATTTGCCTTAAGGCACGATGCCATACACCACTAGTTTTTTGATGGATTTAGATAAATAGTCGACTTACCATCGTCATCTTCTTCGTCGTCCATGCTGGCATCATCGAGATCATCAGGAATTGGGATCAGATCAGAATCTTTCATGGCTGGTAAGTCGATTTTCTTTACTCGGCTGTTATCTAGAAAGATAATTGATACATATAATAATTAAATGATAATCAGATATTATCAAGTACTAATTGATAATTTTAACAAAGTGATATTTTTATCTCTATTTTGATGAAACAGGATTCCGCAAAGCGTCTTTGTGCATATTAAATTTTATATTAAATCACAGTTTTGAAGTATACCGAGTTGCTGTAGGGTCATATAATGTTGGACAATATTGTAGATAATTCAATTTTGTACAAATTTACCAAATATTTCATTAAAATTGGACCAACGGTTTAAAAGATACACTAGATAGAACTAAGAAATGCATAAACGAACAAAGTTACGACTAACAAATAGTTTCTATTTCAATCACGATTTTGAAGTATACCGAGTTGCTGTAGGATCATATAATGTTTGACATTGTTGTAGATTATTTAATTTCGTATAAATTTACCAAATATTTCAATAAAATCGGACAAACGGTTTAAAAGATACACTAGAAATGCATGAACGAACAAAGTTACTCACAAACTCGAACTAACTATTAGTTCCTATTTCAATCGCGATTTGAAGTATACCGAGTTGCTCTAGGGTCATATAATGTTAGACAATATAGTAGATAATTCAATTTTGAGCAAATTTACCGAATATTTCATTAAAACTGGACAAACGGTTTAGAGGTACACCAGAAATGCATAAACAAACAATGTTACTCATGAACTCGAACTAACTATTAGTTTCTATTTCAATCGCGATTTTGAAGTATACAGAGTTGCTGTAGGATCATATAATAATAGACAATATTGTAGATAATTCAATTTTGTGCAAATTTACCGAATATTTTATTAAAATCGGACAAACGGTTTAAAAGATACACTAGAAATGCATAAACCAACAAAGTTACTCACGAACTCGAAGTAACTATTAGTTTCTATTTCAATCACGATTTTGAAGTATACCGAGTTGCTGTAGAGTCTTATAATGTTAAACAATATTGTAGATCATTAAATTTTGTGCAAATTTGCCAAATATTTCATTAAAATTAGACAAAAGACTCAAAAGTTACAACGTAAAGAATAAAAAATACATAAACTTGATAACATGACAAAGAGTGAAACATTGCACTCTGATAAACTTTGTGTATTGATGGAACATTTAAAGTATACCGAGTTGTTGTAGATTATTAAAATGTTAGACAATATTGTAGATTATTTAATTTTACAAATACACCGTACAAATTTACCGAATATTTTAATAAAATCGGACAAACGGTTCGAAGGTTACAGTAGATAGAGCAAAAAAAAGCATAAACGACTATAATACACAAAACACGATAGTACGCTCGAATAAATTTCTTACTTTGGATTCAATTTTTAGGTACATCGAGTTGCTGTAGGGTCGTATAATGTTAGACAATATTGTAGATAATTCAATTTCATGCAAATTTGCCAAATATTTCATTAACTTCACACAAAAGACCTAGAAGTTACACTAAAAAATGCATCTACGACTTGAGTGGTGGTTGTTGGCAATGTCTATTGGTATTGGTGGTGCCTAATGGTGGTGTATTGCCTTCAACCCTCTACCCTCTGTTATCTCATAAATCATAAAGTAGTTTCGAACGATACAGCAACAACGTGTATTGTTTCATTGTCATGCGACTTGATTAATTTTATTGATTTTGTGTCAACGAAGAGGGGATGATATGTTACAATAGAAGTGAACCCTCCAAATGAATGAAAATTGATGGAAAAAATGGGGTTTTATGTGAAACATATTGCCTTGGACATGATTCTAGGAACCAACTATCTATTCTATCTATATTTATTTATTCGATAGCTTGTCTTTTACCATTCCATCCATCCATTTAATCAACAAAAATCCCTTTCGCCAAAAAGAAACAAGTGACTTACTATCTATTAATGGTGGGTCAGGATGTCGAAATCTCTCATCCGAAATCCTTTCCATGAATAAAACATCGAGGTTTGGAAAAAGTCTGGAAAAATGTCGGATGAAACAACTCGAGTGGTTCCTTTCATGAATTTTCATGAAAAACTCTTCCGTTCCGCACTTTTATCTCGACGAGAGGGAAATTGCTTTATCGTCGGTTGGATCGACTTTTAGAAATCAAGGGAAATGATTGGATTATGAACGAACTATTTTTTTGATAGGTGGGAATCAAAGTCAAGTGCCAATTTAAATATATTTTGTGATCCTTGGGATTTAGTAAAATACGGATATAAACCAAATCCGGGTGAATCGTTTGGATTATGAAGGAGCTCATGGGTGAAAAATTTATCTGTTCTTTGAAAATAACAGCCAAGTGTAAATTTGTACAAAATCAAATAATCTACAATATTGTCTAACATTATATGATCCTACAGCAACTCTGCATACTTCAAAATCGTGATTGAATTAGAAACTAATAGTTAGCTCGAGTTCATGAGTAACTTTGTTCGTTTATGCATTTCTAGTGTATCTTTTAAACCGTTGGTCCAATTTTAATGAAATATTTGAAAAATTTGCACAAAATTGATTAATTTACAAAATTGTCTAATATTATATGATCCTACAGCAACTCTGTATACTCCAAAATCGCGATTGAATGAGAAACAAATAGTTAGTTCGAGTTCGTGAGTAACTTGTTCGTTTATGCATTTCTTAGTTCTATCTAAATGTATCTTTTAAACCGTTTGTCCGATTTTAATGAAATATTTGGTAAATTTGTACAAAATTGAATTATCTACAATATTGTCTAACATTATATGATCCTACAGCAACTCGGTATACTTCAAAATCGTGATTGAAATAGCAAGTAATAGTTAGTTTGAGTTCATGAGTAACTTTGTTCGTTTATGCATTTCTTGTGTATCTTTTAAACCGTTGGTCCAATTTATTAAAATATTCAGTAAATTTGCACGAAATTGAATTATCTACAATATTGTCTAACATTATATGATCCTAGAGCAACTCAGTATACTTCAAAATCATGATTGAAATAGCAAGTAATAGGTAGGTCAAGTTCATGAGTAACATTGTTCGTTTATGCATTTCTGGTGTATCTTTTAAACCGTTTGTCCGATTTTAATAAAATATTCGGTAAATATGTGCAAAATTAAATAATCTACAATATTGTCTAACATTATATGACCCTAGAGCAACTCGGTATATTTAAAAATTGAATTGAATTGAAACAACGGGTAAATTTTTTATCATAGATTTTATATTCACAGAGCATACCGTATAAGTTCCATAATTCATAAAAGTATACTTTTTGCATGAATGTGTATCAAATCCTTATAAAATATTCCTTGAAGCGTTTCTATTTAACTTTATATATATATATATATATATATATATATATATATATATATATAAAGGAATGACGTCATGACAAAATATATATTGTCTGTATTCATATCTGGTGAATGCTAATATAAATATTCAAAAGCTACGAATTCACAAAGGAATGGAACAGTCATGTAATATAAGTCATATCATATATATATATATATATATATATATATATATATATATATATATGTGTGTGTGTGTGTGTGTGTGGTATATCAAACATATCGAAATCAAAAATAAATAAGAGATAGAATTAGGGAATGCAATACCGGTATGCCGGTATACCGAATTACCGATAAACCACCCGATTTTTAGGCGGTATTTTTACCGGTATTTATTCCAAACATACCGGTATTTTCGGTATTTTTACATAAGCGCTATTTGATACATAATACGTTAAAGTCGGAACAAGTTTATCTTTAAATTCTATGATCGCATAAACAGCTATATCTTCAAGTGATTCTATAGGATAAACAAATGTCAAATATTATCTCAACTCGTCATTAAACTGAATATTTATTGCTTTACTAAGGGCTTCATATCGTGTTACAATAAATAGAATTAGATTGATAGATAATGATGTTTGTTTTATCTTATGTAAAAATGTAACGGTTTTTTAAGTGATATTTGCGCCAAAATATTTTATATCATACAGATTACCTCTGCGTAATTTTTATTTTTTTCTAACTTTATGCATAATAATTACGATCATTACTAAATATTTTTGCTTCTTATTACAATTATAAAATATTATTTTTCGAAAACGTTTCGAAGTTAGAAATAATATAGAAGCATCACATTGTTTTAAATAACAATACTCAACAATTATAGTAATTTATTATTTATCTCGACAAAAAATCCGATCTTAAATTAGTGTAGGAAATTATTTTTTTAAATATTGGAAATTATGCTAATTTAACACATCGGATACAGACAATACAGTTTATTATAATAATGTAATATGATCTTTTATGAGTTTTACTCATAAGTTTGTTTTTGGTGAAAAGTACTCAATATACTCGATAGTGATAATGAATTAATTGAATTGGATATAATTTTGTTAAATTATTATTTAAAAAAAAATAAACGTACTGTTTTATTTTATTGTTCAGTTGAATATAGTTGTAGTTGTACATACATTTTTTTATATTTGTATTAGTAACTTTCAATTTTGTTTACGTTTGTTTAAGATAATAAAAATACCGGTAATTTACCGGTATTCCGGTTTTAAAATCAAAAATTACCGAAATACCGGTATTGAAATTTTCCATCGGTATTGCATTCCCTAGATAGAATTATACTTGATGTGGTTTGCTCATAAAACTGAACTGAACTGAAATTCAATTGCTCTAGTGTCTTATACCATTAGACAAAATCTTCATCAATCATTTACCAATTTTTTTCATCCCTTACCTTTATAGTGTTTAGGACAGCACACGAATTCAACCCCACTGAACAAGGATATTCCGCAGGGTAGTAACATTGCAAAGGACCTCAATTGGAGCCCTCTTTCTGAACAAGCCCTTGCACCAGTCTGGTTCCATCTGGAAAATTGCCAGCAATGCGACTGGTTATGGATGTGGTCGAAAAGGCACCCTTCGGGCACCAGAAGGGCGTCAGACTGGAAGGGACCCTCTGGGGAAAAAAAGAAAATCGAATTAAATAATGAAATATTAGGTTGTCAAATATCTCCCTTCCGCTTTTTTGCTATTGGTTTATAATACAAAAAGGCGGAAGGGAGATATTTGACAAACTAATATCAAATTCGAAGTCGTTTTATTCAAAACTTTTATATCGGAGCGTATAAAAGTGTTCCCTAGGAAATGTTGTAAATTTTATCTAGTTTCACCCTGTCTAACTGAAAAGGGGTGGTTCCATATGAAATTTTTGAGTTATTTGACAAAAACCGAAAAATAACCCGAATTTTCTATTTATTGCTAAAGAATGAAATATCAAATTCAAAGTCGTTCTATTCAAAACTATCATATCAGACTGTAAAAAAGTGTTTTCTAGGAAAAGTTGTAAATTTTATCTAGTTTTACCCTGTGTAACTGATAAGGGGTAGTTCCATTTGAAATTTTTGAGTTACGTTTGTTTTAGCGTCTGCAAACAATTGACGTACAAAATAAAATAACACATTTTTTACTATAGTTTAGATTTGGAATATTATTATTAGTACGTTTTTACCTCCATACTATATTATATATTGTTATACTATATTATATTATTATACTATTTTATATATTATATTATATATTGTTTGCATTTTGTATCCAGTTTCTTCCAGAATGTAGTCATAGGTCAAAGAAGCCCTATTGAATATTATCCTGTGATTAAATTATGAGGCCGTACTACTATCAAGTATATTGATATATATATACGTATATATATATATATATATATATATATATATATATATATATATATATATATAAATAATCCTATATCGATTTTGAGGATAATACATAAAGATACTTAGACACGAAGTTTATATAGGAAAGGTACATTTGATAAAATTATTGTTTATCTTCTAAATTTTTTGTTTAAAGTAACTAGTGTATTTGGTAAATTTGTGCAAAATTGAATAATAAACAACATTGTCTAACATAAGAAGACCCTAGCACAACTCGGTATACTCATAAATAATAATGGAAAATAAAAAACATTTGTCGTGTATATCAACTAGGGAATGCAATACCGATGAAAAGTTTCAATACCGGTATTTCGGTAATTTTTCATTTTAAAACTGGAATACCGGTAAATTACCGGTATTTTTATTATCTTAAACAAATGTTATCGAAAATGAAAGTTACTAGTACAAATATAAAAAAAATGTATACACAACTACAACTATATTCAACTAAACAATAAAATAAAAGAACAAGTTTATTTTTTTAAATAATAATTTAACAAAATTATATCCAATTTAATTCATTATCACTAACGAGTATATTGAGTACTTTTCACCAAAAACAAACTTATGAGTAAGAAAGACCAAAACTCATAAAGGATCATATTACATTATTGTAATAAACTGTATTGTCTGTATCCGATGTGTTAAATTAGCATAATCTTTAATATTTAAAAAAAATAATTTTCTACACAAATTTAAGATCGGATACTTTGTCAAGATGAATAATAAACTACTATAATTGTTGAGTATTGTTATTTAAAACAATGCGATGGTTCTATAGTATTTTCAAACTTCGAAACGTTTTCGAAAGATAATATTTTATTGCAATAAGAAGCAAAAATATTTAGTAATTATCATAAATATTATGTATAAAGTTATAAAAAAATAAAGATTACGCAGAGGTAATCTGTATGAAATAAAATATTTTGACGCAAATATTACTTAAAAAACCGTTTTATTTTTACATAAGCTGAAACAAACATCATTATCTATCAGTCCAATTCTATTTATTGTAACACGATATGAAGCCCTTAGTAAAGTAATAAATATTCAGTTTAATGAAAATATTTGACATTTGTTTATCCTATATAATCACTTTAAGATATAGCTGTTTATGCGATTATGGAATTTGAAGATACATTTGTTCCGAGAAATTTAAACTTTAGGGTATTATGTATCAAATAGCGCTTATGTAAAATTACCGAAAATATCTGTATTTTTCGGGTAAATATTGGTAAAAATACCGCCGAAAAATAGGGCGGTTTACCGGTAATTCGGTATACCGGTATACGGTATTGCATTCCCTAGTATCAACCTATGACGTCCATAAATCAGAAGTAAATTTTTGTATAAAATTACTTGTAGATCCTAAACTATTTATTTAAAGCAACTGCTGTATTTGGTAAATTTGTTCAAAATTAAACACTAAACAACATTGTCTAACATTATAATACTCTACATCTACTCTGTATGACTTTAGAGATAAAAATTCCTTCTTTATTCCACTACTCTTAGGATTAGCAATTACAAATTTATTTCTGTAAGTAGTATGCATATAAATGTGATTCTTCTGTTTATTTTTTACTCATTAATTGTGTTGATATAAATGTACACAAATATAGCAAATTCAATTCCTCCGCCGTATTATTCCTCGAATTGTGTTTAATGAGACTCAGAGGCAACTCCTACTTCTACTCCTTCATATTATTCCTAGAAGTCGAATGCAATTATCTCCTCAGTACATATGTGGAGTTGGCACAAAGTTACCATGACGATCATGATGATGATGATGATCATGATCATGGTTCCTTGGGGAACTTGTACTATACTATATATAGTACAACTACATATTACGAGTATAAACGTCGACGATTGTCGTAATGGTGGAGGAGTTATGGTTTTGTAATTTGATAATGGGATAAGGTGAGAGTTTAACGTTTATGAGTATACCGAGTTGTCGTAGGGTCTTGGGGTGTTAGACAATTTTGTTTATTATTTAATTTTGAACAAATTTGCCAAATACACTAGTTACTTTATACAAATAGTTTAGAAGATATGAATTATTTTCCAAAAATGTAACCGTGCTTCATGTATATGTAATGACATCATTTAAGCGGAAGAAGCTCTTTATCGATAAAATTTTCCGGAACTCGAAAGGGTGTTTCGCAAATGCGAATTTTCTCCTATATATATATATATATATATATATATATGTATGTATACTAGATGACCCGACAGACATTGTCCTGTACCCACATCTACGTTTTTTTAATATCCTATACTTATATTTACCGTTCAGTTAAAAATAATAATTATTATTTTTCGAATTACTATTTACACCACCATATGAGTGATGTTAAATGTAGAACTGCTTCAAATAAAATGATGATTCTCAATTCCCACAGTTAACACTTTAATTATCCCTTTAACAAATATGTAAAATAAAATTGTTTACTAAAAATTATACACTGCAATTTATAGAACAAATTTATTACCAATAGCTCGATTTATTTTAGTTTCAAGAGTAATACAATATGTTTAGTCATACCTGTAGATTTAGATGTATAAATGAATGATTTTTTGTTTATTCACGACTAAAACATTGATTTTCCAAATTTTTCACACAAAAAATCATCGCCTGCCTTTGGGATTTGTAGCATAAAATATACGTATTGGAAATTGAAGGCTTTTAAAAGGTATAACAAATTCAGATAGAATTAATATATGGCATTCGCGGTAAAGGTACAATATCACCTTCAATGTTTCTACCCATAACAATTGCTTCAATAATGTTACCTATAATTTTTATAATTTCGTACCTTATTTTAACTGACTTTCAGTAATTTTATTATCTAAATTACACCTTTCTCACTAATAATTCAATATACATTATTACTTAAGTTCATATTTGTAGCGAATTAATTTGTCGAATCCTGTTCACATGTGCTCTATTCAACCTACGATCAACAAAATTATTGCAGTAAATGGAGAGGAAAAAGCGGGTGCTCTGCGATTTTTTTTTACTCTGCTCCAATTTGCTTGATATTTTGGAAATATGCCAAATCTTAATCTTAAGTTCAGAAGTGAAAACAATTTACACTCCGTCACCACCCCCGGCATTAATTGGATTATAACTCTTTTAATTCTGATTTTATCAGAACTTGTAATATACTATTTTGAAGGTAATTAAATGAGCTACAACGTTTTTATTATAAATTTTACCGTAACTTCTCTTATTTTGAAACGGCGAAGGGCTAAAGGGCTCGAAAGGACACTCTGGTTGGACAGCCGCGCACTTTTTAAACAATCATAACTCTAACAATATTTGTGTAACAAAAAAATAATAAAAAGCAATAATTAGTCAGGAAAAAACCTTGAATTTTCTATATATACCTTTATATCTATATAGCTTTATCCGTATCTTTTATTCTTTCAGAGATAGGGCTCGAAATAATAATGAGAAATTGGCTGTTTTTTTTTAAATAGATTTTTTTCAATAGAATTTTTGAAAATTGTTTGTATCAAAGTTATGGTATTTTCTAGAATCCATCAAGATCTCTTAAACCAAGTTAATTCTAGATATAATACGATTATTTTTAAGTTTGGTGGAAATGACACTCATTAACTATTTGATTCAAATGAAAAAAAAACATTGTATGCGTCTTTTATTTGCATGATAGCTCACTCATTTTAAATGCAGAAATACTCATTTTAAAGCTTATTTTGAGGACTATAAAACCCCATTTTCATATATAGCTTAATATTGTTCCTAGAACACTATAAAACAGAGATTTATTAAAATATTAATTTATATAATCTTGGTCATTTCATTATTTTTGTTAAAATGTATATTTCTGAAGATATTAGCTAACAGCGCTTTTAATTTTTCTTTAAGGTTTAGTTAAAAAATAATAATCTGTCAAATTGAATTTTAATATAGAGTATGTAATTGTATTGAACTGACATTTCACAAACGCCACACGCATCACTTGTCAGACGGATGTTGACTCTATTTTATTATATTATTTTAATTTTTGGCACATCTCAGCTGCCTTTCGGCAATAATAATGTAGACATTCTATTTCTCTTATTTATATTCAAGAATATATTACATTTTAATATTGTCTTAGCCTATAAATGAATGGAAATGTTTGGCAAATGACAGTCTTCATTTGTTTTTAAAGTCAAACAATGCCTCAAACATTTTCAATGTCAATCAATGATAAGCGGTTTTTTTGTAATTTTTTCCATTTATTTCTACAAACTAACTATATTTCTATAAATCAAAAAATCTTAAAAAAATCCCTTAACAAACTTCAGGAAGATTTATGAAAATCCGAATAATCGTTTAGGAGGATTATCCTTTCATACGCCATTACAGAAGAATTGTATATATAAGATATATATTATCGTACATTTCCAGAATCCCACATATATATTTTTACCCAGTCGATCATTAAAATCGAATTAAGATAATAATTCTTGTAATAAGATATTTTTAGATTAAAAAATTCCTCAAAGTCACGTTTTTAAAATTCCGAATTGAATAAAGATTTTCTTCTGTCAGAGAGAAAAGAAATCGTCTTGGAGAAAAAGGACGTTTTGCCAGGATAAAGGATAATAGAAACAGGAATCGATTATCATTTATATATATATATATATATACATATATATATATATATATATATATAATAAATGATTCAAGAAAAATCGTACCAATGAAATTAATGTGCAAACTGAAGGAGAGCTGTGTAGATAAAAGTATTAGGATAAAGACAACTTTCAAACCGTTGTAACTTTTTTTATAACTATTTAATTCAAGATTTATCTTCACATTTGTAAAGATAATTTATCTATCTAGTATCTATCTTATGAAGATGTATATTTTTTATCTTGATTATATAAAAAGTTATAAACTTAAAACTAGAAAAATGTAACTCTTTACATCGACGTAGTATATTTAGTTACACTTTTATATTTAGTCTTATATCTTTAATAGTTATTAGAATACATTCCTGTTATTATATATCAATGAAAAGCTAAATAAATTTGCTGTCAGTGTATATAAAATAATTAATAACATTCAGAACAAATTTATCTTAAAAAAATCGTAGTTAAATGAGCCAGTTCGAATATTCGATGGATTTGCATGAATTGAAAATGAAAGATGAAGCTCGACTTCTTCTAGAACATTTTTCTATAATTTGCATATTATTATTGAAATTTATTAGAATACATCCCTATTATTATATTATTATATATATGGTGATATATATATATATATATATATATATAATTATATATATCACCAGAAAGCTAATAAAATTTACATAAAGACTGTATATAATAATTAATAACATTTAGAACAAAATTATCTTAAAAAAGGACGTTAAAAATAACATTAAAATTAAAAATCAAAAGTGATTCAATATTTCAAGGATTAGTTATTTCAGGGGCGATTTTCTTTTATTAAATCCGGCCCTGTGTTCATCCTAATTGGCTTTCCCTGTTCTGTGACGCATTTCGAGCTGTTTAAATCGATTTTCTCGAACTTTTCGGCTCGTGTCGACTTTTTAACAAACTTTTGCCATGAATACGAAATAAAAAAACATTAAAGTTAAAACAAAACGCAGATTTCGTTTGAATGATAAATGACTCCGGAAACAAAATCAGATCCCTCTAAATACTTTTGAGCGTACAATAAAGGTATACCGAGTTGGTGTAGAGCATTTTGTTGTTAGAATAAGTTTGAGATTATTCAATCTTGTAAAAGATTTCTGAATACATCATTTATTTTAATCGAATGGTTTAAAAGTTATAGAAGATATACTGAAAGATTTACAATTTTAAAGTATAACGAGTTGATGTAGAGCATTGGGTTATTAGAAACTAATGTTAATTATTCAATTTTACATAAATTTGCCTAATATTTTGTTCCGATTAGATGAATCTTTTAAAAGTTACAGGCGATGCAATAAATAAATGCATGACGCTGTTTCCGAATTAAAGCCACTCGAGCGTTCGGATTAATATTCTATTTTTAAGTACGATTTTCAAGTATACCGAGTTGCTGTAGGTACTGATAATGTTTGACAATATTATAGGTAATTGAATTCTAAACAAATTTCCCAAATACTCAATTTAATTTACACAAACCGTTCAAATGTTACAGGTTTAAATGCAACTACAGGTATCCATTTCCAAGTGTTTGTGTGAGGGTTTATTTACCTCGGCTTTCCGTCTATTTACCATTTGACTCCGACGAGCAATTGCCAGAGGCACAAATCCCATATATTACACCCTGTTTGCCCCGTTTCCCCTATTTGATGCAAAGACGAGGATCAGAATATATTGAGGTGTTAATTTCGACATGGAAGATCTCTCATGAAACACATCTGAATTAATTGACATTTGTGCATTTGTTGGATCGTAGTGAAAGGAATATTTGGTGAATTTGTTTGAAATTAAATTATCTTTGATATTATCTAACATCATCAGTACCTACAGCAACTCGGTATACTTTAAAATCGCTCCAGAAAATTTAATATTAATCCGAGACTTACAACATCGTTTTGCACTTATTTTTAAAATCTTATGTAAGTTTAAAACCGTTAGTTTATTATAAACGAAATATTATATTTGACAAATTTGTTCAAAATTATATAAATTATAATATAATCTAATAACAAAATTCTTCTAAAGCAACTTTTAAAACAATATTGAATGTATAATATAATTCTGACGCGTAGGAAGTGCACTACTTTCATATAACTTCTGTAATTTTTGAAATATTCGATGGATTTACATAAAGTGTTTGGAAAATTTGTTTAAAATTGAATAATCTACGTTTTTGTCAAAGATCATAACACTCTACAGCTACTCGGTATACTTTAAAATTGTGATTGAATATCCATTGTTTAATATAATTCTGACGCGTAGAAAGTGCACTCCTTTTATGTAACTTCTGTAACTTTTGAAATATTCGATGAATTTACATGAAGTGTTTGGAAAATTTGTTTGAAATTCAATAATCTACATTTTTGTCAAAGATTATAACACTCTACAGCAACTCGGTATACTTTGAAAAAGTAATTGAATACAGAAGTGCGTTACGAGTAGAACATTTTTAGACATGTCTTGCAAGCGACATATTATTTGTGCATTGTTCATAATATCTTTTATAACTTTTGAACCCTTTATACAAATTACCACGAAAAGTTTAGATTAAATTTTCATGGAGCAAAAGTTTCGTAAACGAAATGGTAAAGAGCAAAGGGTTAGGGAATAATTAGAAAAAAATTGCATGGGATAGGATGATTCGTAAAGTTCGTATATGATATATACTAAATATTTAATATTTATTTATAATGATGAGAAAAAACTGAATTCAAAAATCTTGAATAAAACGACTTTGAATTCGATATTTCATTTTTAAGCAGTAAGTATAGAAAACTCGGGACATTTTTTTGGTTTTTGTCAAAAATTTCATATGGAACCACCACTTTTCAGTTAGATAGGGTGAAACTAGATAAAATTTCAACATTCCCTAGGAAACACTTTTATATACACCAATATTAAAGTTTTGAATAAAACTACTTTGAACTTTATTAATTACAAACACCAATCCCTCACGTTGGCGCGACATCAATCCTTTACCCTACCGGCAAGTCGTTGTTTAAATAATAATTATCAATTTATTACGATTAAATAATGTTTTTTCTTAAACTTACCAAGACATCTGAAAGGTTTGACCCATCTGGCGGCTTTACATTTGGCCTGATTTGTTGCTCCCAAACGGCACCAACCGCTCACTTTTAGGTAATGAGATGATTCCACAATATTCGTTATGTCTCGGTTTGGATAAACCTGAAAAATAGAAAAAAATGATGAAAATAGGTAATAGATATAGTAATAATAATAATAATAATAATAATAAATATATTTCAGTAAATATAAATATATACATAATATTTCTTATTTCGTTTCGATTTTTACCTGTAGGTGTATTATCCACCATATCTGGTAATATAATAGTTAATATTTAAAATATAAAAGTTGTGACATAAATGTGTGACAAAAAAATGAAGAATAGAAAATTTTCCCCCAAAAAAAATTCACATAACAATATTTATGAAAATAAATACAAAAAACAAATACAATAATAGATATAGTAATACATTATTTGGAATAAGATATAATTATATTAAATTAGTACATGGACGAAGAAAACATCTGACAATCTATGTATTATTCAATCAATCTTTGTATATATTTCGTAATTTAACAAAAAGTATTTGAACTAGTGGTGTATGGCATTGTGCCTTAAGGCAAATTGCTGGAACTTCCTATACCGTAACTTAAGGAGGAGGAATATTAAATGCTCTCATATAGATTATTATTAATATTGTAACATTGTCTAATATTTATAATAATTATATAAACTGAATTGCAAAGTTGAAATTATTTGTTCAAAGTATATTGAAACTATAGTCAGAACTACAATTAAAATCTGAAAAAAAATTTGAATAAAAAAAATTGAAACAATTTTTCTTTTCAAAAAGCAATTATTTAGTTAAAACAAGCAGAAAGTTCTTTGAATCATTTAAATCGGACGCTTAGTTCTCTCAAAAACTGTCACTTTTTACATATTTAGCTCCGTATCTTCAAAATGGCTGGGCCTGCCTTTGCCAAAAACTAATAAACACTTCTCCCAATCATTACTAATTGAATGTTTTTTAGATCATTCAAATTGGATAATCCGTTCTCTCAAAAATATGATTTCTATTTTCTGAACTCTTTGCTCCGTATCTCCGAAACGGCTGGACCTGCCTTTGGCAAAAACTAATTAGCACATCTCCCTATCAATAGGAATCGAATGTTTTTTTAACCATTCCAATCGGTTGATCCGTGCGCCCAAAAACGTGGACAAAAAATTGTATCCATACATACATACACACACACACACATCAATTTTTTCTGAGGTATGCCAAAATGTTCAAAAACCTTTAAAACGTGAAGAAATGCAAAAATTTTCATTTACGATTTTCGTCCCATTACTATAACTACTATAGTTAATAAATGACAAATTTTATGACAATTGTGAAATTTTAATCCAGATTTTTATTTTATTTAAAAAATATATAAAAAATTAGTTTCAAAATATTTTTAATTAATTTCTCTATTTTATTCACAATATAATTTAATTTATCTCTTATTATATTATCTACAAAAAACTCTAAACCATTTATATTAAAAATATTTAGAAAACACAAAAAGCATGTACATGTATCTTTATTCGATTTAATCAAGTATTTTTTTCATTTATTATATTTTCCTATTGCTATATTTTATTTTTTTTTCATTGTTATACTATTTCTCTAAATCATAATAAATCATTTTAATCCATTAATTAAGTCAAAATTAATATATTTTCATTTTTTTTACAAATGTCCCACATAAAACCGGTACGCCTCTTTGCACTTTAACCTAAAACGAAGCCTAGTTTTAGGTTAAAAGCACATTTGGCGTACCGGTTTTAAATGGGACATTTGTAGAAAAATGAAAATATAATAATTTTGACTTAATTAATCGATTGGAATGATTTATTATAGATTAGTAAAGCAGTATAACAATAATTAAAATTAAATATAGCAATAGGAAAAATAAAATGAAAAAAATACTTGAATAACTTGAGCAAAGATACATGTACATGTTTTTTGTATTTTCTAAATAATTTTTATAGAAATGGTTCAGAGCTTTTTTTGTAGATAATATAATAAGAGATAAATTAAATTATATTATGAGTAAAATAGAGATTTGCATCGTCTACTGGGTTAATTAAAAATATTTTGAAATTATTTTGTTATATATTTTTTGCATAAAATAAAAATCTGAATCAATAACTTGAGTGAGGGTATATGTGCATGCAATTTTTGAGTTTTCGGTATTTTGTAAATAATTTTTATACTAATTATTGTCACCTAATTTATTTTAGTTAATATAATGTATATAGCTATACTTATATATTTCTAAACAATTTATTTAAATACCTTCAATTCATGATGCATATTATTTAAACAAAAATATTATTTACACCTTTTTTAATTACTTTTTATCATATGGCATAATAATAATGATTTATTTTAGTTAGTATTTTAGTCTGAAATAAGTATATAATTAATTTACAATTTGTACACTTGTAGTGATATTTTGATAGTTTTTTTGATTTTTTTATGTTTTGTATTTAGGAGAAAGCTTAAACTGGAACGTATGGAAATCAGTTTAAAATCTGTATGTATGTTTGTTTGAAAAGTTTTCATTGTTTATATATATATATATATATATATATATACATATGACGTCATAATCGAATCAATTTCCGGATGATTCGCCTCCGGAAGCGGATATTGCCGGAATATGTTCGGCGGCTCCACCGGAAAATTTGGATTTATTTGTATGTACGAAATATTGGTATTTATTCATTAATAAATATATTATTTTAATATATTTATTAGACATAATAGATACAAATATTTTGTTAAATAGATTGTGTGAAAATAATAATTTTATGTATTTAATCATTTATTTACTTATTATTAATTATAAAGATTCAGATCAAAAAAGTTTAGTTCCATAATAATTTGAATTTATTTTTGAAACTAGCAAAATAATAGCAAAAATTATTATTTGACACTAAAAAAGCAGTTAATAATATTAATTCATGGATAATTTGAGATTTATGTTAAATTCTGCTTACAAATTTATCATACTAATATATTATTAACTCCTATAATATTTATCCACTTCATAAAACAATATTTTCGTTATATGAATCATATGTTTAGTATTCATAATGATTAAATAATCTTGTATAAATATACTATTTCTAAACAATTTTGTGCAAAAATATATCATTATAACAAAGTTTGTTATTTAAATTGTTATCTTTGTTTAAATTTGGCACCATTATTTAAATTATTTATCAGAATAATAATATAACGAACGAAAACATTAGTACGATAAAAATTTATGATTAATTCTGAAACAATGAATTGTTTTATAATTTTATATGTAAACATTTTTATTACTTATTGAAAGTTATATATATATATATATATATATATATATATGTATATATATTAATTGTAAATAATAAATTATAGAATAAAATATAATAATAAATCTGTAACTAAGAAGAGCATATACATTATTTTTTTAAAAACAGTTTTTGCAATTTTGCATAATTATTAAATAAGAAACTAATAATAAATTCCCAATGATCTCATAAAAAGCCATTTGTAAACGCTAACATTATTATTATTATTATTATTATTATTATCTTGTTATTTCTAATATTGTTATTTTGTTATATTTTATTGTTTTTCTAGTATTATTTTATTATTTAGAAATTTTATTTATATTATTTATTAATTTTATTTTTATTATTGTTTGCTTCTATTTTATATTAAATCATCATATTACGAATATTATTTTCATGTAAATTCTATCCTTTGCACCCTTATTTATTTAAATTTATGTTATTATTTATCATTATTGCTAGATGTTAATTATTTAACAGTTGTAATAAATATTGTAATTAAAAAAAATTAAATAAGAAATATATACACAGTTTAATAAATAGTGTTAGATGTTTATACTCAAATACGACTACCAAATAAATTTCTCAGCCTCTTAATTTAATGATTTTTTAAATAAATTGTAACTGTTCTCTTAATTCATTTTTCTTATTAAATAATTAAAATAATTAAAATTAAATTAAAATTAATTAAAACAAATAATTTTTTTTGTAACCTGAAGATGAAATGTATCTATTTATTACTATTTTATTTATACGTTTGTATTTAAATTTTGATTGATAGCATTTTTGTTTGAAAAGTATATTGATTGTCTCATTAATACCAGCTGGATAATAGATAGAAGGATGTCCTCGTTGCCTGCCCTAAATATTTGAAACTATATATATATATATATATATATATATATTTATATATATATATATATATGTATTTTGTATGATTCTGAATTTGATGTTGACATATGTATTAACAAAGTCTAATAATCGGGCATAACATCAATAAAAAACTAAAATAGTTATGTTATGCCCGATTATTAGACTTTGTTAATATATATGTATATATATATTCGATATAATCGTTTTCAATGAAAGCTTATTCTCTGTAATATATATGGTTCTGTGATCTTTCAAGTGTAAAGTCTTATGATGTTGTCCCACATATTACACAAAGAAACAATTCATGGATTTCTTACTACTCTATATAATAATATTATATCACACATATATATATATATATATATATATATATATATATATGTATATATATATGATAGGATTTGAGTGATATTCCAAGATTCATCCATCGTGCTTCATCAAACTAAATCCTAAATCTGAAGCATTATAGGGAAACAATTTAGTGAACTAAATCTATATAATAGATATAATAAAAAATGAATCGCAAAATGTGTTGGTAAGCGCCATAACAACAAACAACAAAGCCTGGACCAATTTGGCCAATTTTTTTAAAATGTTCGTTCAAGTCTAAGGATGCAAAAAAATCGAATAATTGCCGGAAAAACCCAAAAAACAGCCATTTTCTTTTTCACATATAAACGTTTTCTAACTAAAACGTAGCATCAATTTGAGCTTTATTGCTATTATTAATATTGATAGAGTTATAATTGTTTGAAGAGTGCGCGGCTGTCCAACCAGAGTGTCTTTCGAGCCCTTTAACCCTTCGTCGTTTCAAAATAAGAGAAGTTACGGTAAAATTTATGATAGAAAAAATTGTAGCTCATTTAATTACCTGTAAAATAGTACATTACAAGTT